TATATATATACATATATATATATACATACACACACACACACTTTAATAGTCATCTCACATAACAGACCACCCTCTCCTTTAAAAACAAAACAGCAAAACAACCACTAAGCAACTAATTGTGCACACATATACACGGAAAAGGTGCCAAACCAGGCTCATATCATGGTCAGGGTTATGGATGATTGCTCGATTTGTAAGTTTGATTGTTCATAAGGAGTTTTGAGCTAGTAAGCAAGATAGAAACACACTTTGGAGAAGTAACTGCACACAACAGCTCGATATATCCTAAAAAAGAAGGAAATACACATGTGCTTTCCACCGTCTTCTCTCAACAGTTTGACACACTATTATGCAACATCGTAATTCTCTTTTTCTTAGTGTTAACGTTGCTTTCAGCAGGTCAGTGTGGAAAACAAAACGCTGGGTATGAAACACATTAATGCTTGCCGTGGAGTTTACAACAGCGCTGAACTGCACTAAATTCACTTGGATATATAGACGGATTACGAAAGTGTTGAACCTGCTTATCTAAACTAATACAAACCAGCCAAACTAGTAAATAACCCAGGAAAGGGTGATTTGCCTTTGTATATAAACATTCGTTTTCCATCATGCTTTAATCTTATTCAAGTTTATAAAATACTACTCTGCTTTATATAAAATTAAACTGGCTAAAGTGACAGGACTTCTAATATACATCCACTGAGTATTTATATTCATGTGTCATTTAAGAAAAATAAAAACTACAAAAGAATAAAATTAGAGCGTAAAATTAAACCTGAAACATACAGAACGCACTGTACTCATACTGTACAACAACACTTTGGACTAGGTAACTTAGACAGACATATGCAACCATACCGAGTTAGAATAACAAGCTTTTTTAACAAGGAATTTAAAACAACGATTCCTGGATGCTACATCTCTAGCGCTACCTGACATGCTAACAAGACGAGAGTGCAGAATCGGGTTGCAAAGGGAGGGAAAGACTTTCCCCATCAAGTTTTTTCCAAATGTACAGTACGTCACTGTCAATTTACATGAATGTTGCAACCCTCACATCTTTATTGGACCTGGACTAGGGAGAACAAGACGCAAATGACAAAAATACATCAAATTCTCAACTATTTTCTGCATTAGCCTGATGGGGCTCGACAGCACATAAAGTATTCTACGTTTTTTTATGTTCAAATCAACAAGTCTCAGGGTGTACTTGACTACACTATAAATAGGTCTCACATGTCTATTTGAAGGCTGTATGTTTGATGCAAGAAGTTCACTAGAGTGATTGACTTTTTGCTATGTAAGTTTTCAACGTGTCTCATGCAACTCTGAAGGAAACATTTGTTAGGTTACGTATAACATACAGCTTAAATGAGCTGCAGCGTCCTGGCTAATGTTTTATTTAAGCCATGTCTTCTTAACAAGTTTACACACTTTCATTGCTAAAAGTGCTTCAGGGAGCTGTAACAATCTAATCACTATTAAACAACAGTTTAACATACACCATCTATTCTCTCAGGATAAGATAGAAGACATCTTGAGAATGCTGTAACGCATGAGAAATGCCCTAACAAGTAACCAATAACAATTTTTTTAGTACTATTTCTGGCATTATAGGGTTTCACAACATATATTGGGGGCTCGTCCGAGATACCAGAAATTATCCAGTAAAAGTTTAACAGCGTAGGATCATTCTCACTCTCGTCCACAGCACATCAACACGTTCAAAGTCACGTTATGACTACTTAAAACTGGAATGTACCTGCTATCATTAGAGGAAACATGTAGGATTTGCTTCATGCAGACAAGCATAACAACATCTCCAAATATCACATTTAACTTTGATTACTGCCCTAAGTTTAGCTCAAACACTTAAATAAATTTAGCTGATAATTCAAGTCTGCAAGTGTCAATGTTAGCCTTGTAACTGAACTGCAAAGTATATACTCAAACATCCATACATTTTGGTCTACAGGTCACTAAAATGCACTTTCCCATAAAAAAAACGCCCTCACTTTACAATTTCATGCTCTTGTTGAAGAGTTTCTGCCAACAGAAACATGTCAGACAATCTCTGAATCATACTGTGACATTTATCTCTCTAAAGGGACAAAATAAAAAAATAAAAAAAGCTTTGGCCTATTGAGGCTATTTCCATCCAATGTTTTGATACCTCATTCCATTTTTCAACAGTGAAGAGTAAAGAGCTAACATCAATATAAACTCTGCCCACTTTCTTGAACATTGACTCGGTCACAATGAACATGTTCAAATGACCACGAGGATCACAAAGCTTTCACTAGACTAGTCTCAATCAAATACATGCCTAAACAGTCAGGCCAACATACACAGGAAGTCACTCTCACTCAATACCACAGTAATGGGTAAGGTGCTTGCTGGCTTCCGCAGCCCTCTCCTCTGCAACTGCACACTCATGAGGCCTGTAAACAGTCTCTTTCTTCCTGACAGCTTCAAGACAACCTGCCACTGAGGCGGTAATTCTGAGATTCTCCTTTTAAACTTGGCAACTAAATCTAATCTTTCATAGAAGAGCCAATAGGTACTCTAGCAGAAAAAAAGACAGCAAAGAGTTTCATACTTTTTAGCAACTACAGTTACAACATAGACTTGTCTCTGAGTGTACTTAAGCATGAAAGGACAGAAAGGAAACGAAGAAATAGAGAGAACAGCAAAGTCAGAGCACGAGATAGTCGAGACTGTACAAATCGAATGCCTCTCTGTCTCTCAGATGAGTCTCGCCTCGCCCTCCATCTCAGGTGGCAGCTCACACACTCCAGTGAAGTTCATCTCTTTCCCCTCCTTGCCGCCCTGACTCCCTGCTTGAGACCCAGTGTCACCAGGTGAAGGGTTGCTATGTGATAGTGTGTCGGGTGATGTTCGGTGTCCTGTCCCAGCACGTCTCTCCTTCAGGTAGCCCTCGAGACGTTTGAGAAACTGCTTGGGGTTCTTCTTAGCGAAGAGCTCCACTTCTGTGCATCACAGAGCAGAAAAAGGAAAAATCAGGCTTTCTCTTTTTTCACTAGATAAACTCTCATGTTAAACACAAAGCTCTTTACCCAGTTTCCACCCACCTTCACATTTCAACTAGGGCTGCAAAGATTCACCTGCTTTCTTGATGCATCGATTACAAAATTTGCCAAAGCACATGCACTGATCTTGAAACATGAATTTTTGAATCGAATGAATTGTCTTTTTAAAATGCTAAAAATGTAATGAAATGCGATTCAGTAAAGTACCTTTCAATATTTTAAAATATATAAATATTAAATTAGTGACAGGTTAATTAATGGAGTCATAGTGAGACATAAGTTAATTAAACTACTGAAGATTATGCAGTGTTTCATTTTACATTTGATCATTCAATTTCTGTAGTATTTTTTACTTGAATCTTACTGTTATATTACCCTACCTGAAAAACATTTGTATGTTTTCCATTTGTAGCTTTGTTCTATTTGTACTTATCTGTTTTCTTGTTCTTATTTTATTACTGACTGCTTACTTACATTAAATGAGTATTAGCATTTGCTGTAGTATCAAAATTGTTAGCAAGAATTGTGAAATTTCACAGGTATTTAAAGTTACAACCTCACCATAACAACCTTATTTCCAGCAAAATTTGTTCCAGCAAAAATCTAATTGTTTTGAATTTGCAAAAATTATTCCTGAATCGAATACATATGATTCACGGATCAAATCGACTTGCTGTCTACAGAAAGATTCACACTCCTAATCTCAAGATCTATTCAGTATGCAGTAACTTTTACCCTAATGAATGACTGCGTGAACAATGTTAAAGCTAGCAAATCAGAATAGAGGGCATTTACAAGTAAAACCCTTAAAAGTACAGAAGCAAAAAATCGAAGCATCAGTGAGAGTGGAAAGTGGTTTTGGTGCAAACCTTTACTAGCATTTAGTGAACTTTAAGGGGAAAAATAGAAGTAAATTATGGCCCCTTTAAATGATTTTGACCAAATGAGTGTTAATTAAAATCTACTCTGAAAGTCACTAAATGATACCCTGCACAAATACAACACTGTTCATTTGTAACTGAAAAATCACCTTTGAGTACATGGCCAGAGTCAGAAATGGTTTTCTGCTGGCTCTTCCACAGCTGGTAGAGGTGCAGGAATGTTGCAACATAAAAATCATTCAGCACTGCCACGACCTGTTGCCTTCGGTTACACTCCCTATGTGACATCACAAAGCAACAAAATGTTTTATTGCCATGGAAACAACTGCAGAGGTTATGAAAGGCTACAGCAGATACCTCAGACAGAGGGCAAACACAGCCAAATCATTTCAAAGCTTGACAATATGTAATTAATACTGTACAAAATAAACACCAATTAATGTTCAAAAGCTGCAGCTTCCTACATTGTGAGAGGACTTACTTGGACAGCACTTCCTCCCTGAGAGCATGCAGGGCGATTCGCGTCATGTTGATTGACATCACACAGAACGGAAAATTCTGCAGGTGTTGAAAATGAAAATGAGCATTTTATTGTCTTTGAACGATTTTGATAAGGTTGTAGCAAGTAGGGCTGGGTATCGTTCAAAAATTTTCGATATCGATACCTTGACTTCGATACCGGTTCCTGAACGATACTTTTTTCGATACCAATTTTATGAAATCAATTTTAACAAGATTACATTATCTAAAAAAAAAAAACGTTGGTTTTATTTTTCAGCTTGTTGATGTTTATACAAACTCAAAGACTCATCTCCTGAGCCACTGCACAAAGGAACAAAATGTAACCAACACAATAAATCAGTGCAAAATAGTTTTAATAAAGCTCAAATAGTCTTCAGTTTACACATCTGTTAGGCTACATTTACACTAGTTAGTGTTCGTTTTAAAACGCATAGCTCAGACAGAATCATGATTTCTATTTATTTTCCACTGATTTACTGATGAGCATTAGCAGCTTCCAGCGCTGTCTGCTTGTGTTCTCTCTTCCATGATCGCTGCTCTGACTCAGAGGTAATAACATATTTAATTTCAGCTACATTACATGGGCAAAACACATATTAGACGACAGGGCCGGATTTACCTCTTTTTGTGACAAACACATTTTTGGGCCCCCTTCCCTATTAATATAATAGACCTGGAGAGAGAGTGGGAGAGAGAGAGATTAAGTGCATGTGAATACCTGCGTCTATGCATCTCTCAGCAGCGTTCAGCAGCAGTGTCTACTAATAGCGAATCTTTAAGTTAAACTCCTTCATGAACCTCGCTACTGAGAAATGTCATGTAGCTTTTCAGCTGCGAACATAGGCACGTGCCGAGAATACCTATGCATAAATCCGGCCCTGTTAGACGGCAATCGGAAGTTATTACAAACACTCGATGGTGGTTTAAAGTGAGTTTTGAGTAAAAGCGGAATATAAATCTTATTTATTGTCTTATGTAGCATGATGCTACAGTTTGCATGAATGGTCACATAACACGCGCTTTCGGTCGTGTAACGTTAGTATGAATGGACATCTGCATATGATCGGAACTCCAAACAGTTCGGAACTCTCCATTGGAAATTAATGACCGGTCTGTCGTTTGTCATTTGTCGGAGATAGTGGAAAGCCGGCTTGAAACGCAGTGGAAACGCCAGTATGACGAGGATCGTTTTCATTTTAAAACATAAACGCACCAGTGTAAATGTAGCCTTACATCTATGGGGGCTGGGACGCATTCACACTACAGCCTCACATGTGCGCCACATCTCTGAGTGTAACCGGTGTTAACTAGTAGGTGTGTTCGACTTGACGTGGACCGACTGTGCAGACCGATCGGTGTATTACAGTACCACGAGAGCTAAAGAGAGCAGACTGCTCCGTGCGCTTTCGAATCGCTCTCGCGGATGATCGATCTGCGCTGCACATCTTCTAGTCAAACACACCGGCTAGTGCTGCAGGCTTATTGGCTCACTGACGCTGATGAGATTAACCCCTTAGGTATCAAAATTTGGTACCGAACGACGAGATGTTTTTCGATACTCGATGGTATCGAGGCAATTCGGTCAGTGCCTAAAAAGTATCGAACTCGATACCCAGCCCTAGTAGCAAGTGTATGTTTGATTGTGTTTTGCATCACCTGGACTGGATGCTGAGAGAGTTTGTAGATTTCTCTAGCAAGTGGAAGTATCTCTGGGTCCATGACGAAGTAGAGAGTGTGCATGAGACTCAGAAAACCAGTTCCCCTTAGATCTGTAGCAGGGTCTGAACCTGGGAATATAAAGGTCACGCAAAAACAAATATTATAAACTGGTGAATTGTATTTCATGAAAATAATTAATTACCTTGATTTTTTTTTGTTTAGGCAATTTAAGCATAGGTGCTTTTTTGCTGTACCTTGAAAGCCCACGTTCTCCCAGTGTGGTCCATAGCGAGGGCAGTCAGCTCGGGTACAGGTCAATTTCCTGTAGATGGTCTGGAGTACACGCATGTGAACTGACTGGCCATTATCCAGAGAACCTACAGAATCACAAAGACATCATATGTAAGACATTTAGGCAGTTACCATCTAAAAAAAACTTAGAGGGGTCATAAAATCAAAAATCAAAATGTCCTTTATATTTACACATAGAAGAGGGTTACTCTACAATAAAAAAAATACTGCAAATACTACTTATCTGTACAGCACTGGGACCTATCATCTCTATTGCAGTTACACGCTCACGTGACGTTGCTGTGTTACGTGATCACGAAAACTTATAATTTGCACACGTTTTTAAACATTGCCGTTTGAAGTGATTTTAAGCAGTTGAAACACAATCAGCAGCGAAAAACTACTCATTTCGCTATATGCGCATGGTCTGCGAGTCTGCGAGTTTCTGAGCGCTGTCAGAGAGGTGCGCGCACATGAAGACACTGCTCATTGAGTGCGGGAGTATTGAACAGAGTTATTTTTGCCACTTTACAGGCCTTGAACGGTTAAACACACACCTGTGTGCGTCAAAATGCCCATCTTAGCAAGTATCCTCATAAACAGTAATTTAGGTTTTAAAGCAAACAGCTGAGAAAGAAAACATGTGTTACAGTATATCGGCTCTGGGCAGCTCTTAAAGTGACAGCAGCCTAATAATCCTGCTATCTGTCATTCATGTTAATCAAATAACAAAAGACAGAAAATCTCTCACTGCTCTTGACTAAATCATGTTTGTACTTTAATAAGAAAAAATATATATTTAATTTACACAGTGAAGAATATGTAAATATACTTCACCATCCAGCTAGGTTAATAAAAAATTATTCCATCAAGTTCAGGTTAATCGTTGATAACCAGCTGACCTTCAAAGACCACATTGCAAGGACAGCACGATCATGCAGGAAGATCGGGCCCTTCCTAACAGAACATGTTTCAGAGCATAACTTCTTGTCCAGGCCCTTGTGATTTCTAGGCTGGACTACTGCAATGCTCTTCTGCCTGGACTTCCATCATGTGCAATCAAACCTCTACCAATGATTCAGAACGCAGCAGCATGACTGGTCTTCAATGAGCCCGAGAGCGCCCATGTCACACCTGTTTATCTTTCTGCATCGGCCACCATTTGTGGCTTGCATCAAGTTCAATACATTGATGCTTGCATACAGAACAGCCACAGACTCTGCACCGTTCTACCTCAACTTACTCTTATGAGTCTACAGCCCCTCCAGAAGCCCACAGTCGGTAAGTGAGTGATGCCTCGTGGTACCATCACAGAGAGGCACAAAATAATTTTTGTTCACTGTTCTTTGCTATTGCGAAGATCCTCCCAACCCTATCCGGAATGACAAATCCCTGACAACATTCAAGAGGCAGCTGAAAACTCATCTCTTCCATCAGCACTTAACGGTGTCCTGCTGAAAAATTACTTCCTCTATGCTTTGACTTTTCCTTAAATCTTAATTCTGTTCTAGCTTGAATTGTTCCGGATATTTTAACTGATTCATCAACACTGAAAAGCAAGTTATCCATTGGAGAGTTACTAAAGAGATGAATGTAGTCATAGAAATAAAGCATGTAGCTACCTGACTTGTCAAGTCACATGTTCTACTCACACTGTGCAATGGCAAACACTAAGTCTCTCTCCTCTACAAGGTCTTTGTGTAGCCGAGGAGGACCGAACAGGAAATGGGTGATGGCGGCCAATCCAGTCCTGCGAATGGTGGGCTGAATGCTCTTCTAATAGAGGAGAAGAGCAAGTACAAAACAAAGAAAATAAGAAGAGAGTAAATGACAACTGTATTCTCCTGCTGTGTGAATGTAGTCATAGTGTATAGTTACTTAAACTTACAAGCAGGTCTCCAAGATCAGTGGTCTGAAAATGCTGCAGAGCCTCATTGAAGGAGATCAGTGGTGATGGAGTGAGATCCTCTGCAAGAACTACACAAGTGAAACACACTGTTTACTGACAAGAGTCCACACAATGCAATTTTGCTTCATAAACATGAATATGACAATGTCCATTTCGAAGCATTTTTTGTGTACTGAAGGATCATGAAATGTAATTTCTGACTGGTTGTGTGGAACTGATCCTCTGCTAAGCCCCACTGTCACATTTGCATGTTGCCTACCTGCTTGCGCTTTACTGCTTCTGTCAAACACGGCGCAAGAAGCATTCACACTGAGTGAATTACCTTAAAGGGGTCATCGGATGCCCATTTTCCACAAGTTGATATGATTCTTTAGGGTCTTAATGAAAAGTCTATCAAATACTTTGGTTAAAATTTCTCAATCAAAGTGTAAAAAACACCCTTTTTACCCTGTCAAAATCAGCTCTGTTTTCAGCAAGCTGTTTTTAGTCCACGTCGCTTTAAATGCTAATGAGCTCTGCTCACAGAGCTCTGCTCTGATCACGAATGATTCGCGCGAACATAGACGCGCATTTAGGTAGATCGAGGGACGCATTCCTTTCAAAAACAAAAGTAACGTTAATCCTCTGCGTCTTCAGCGGCTCAGATGTTGGGAGTAAATGACGACTGCTATATTCATTATTACATCCAACAACAAAACACCTCAATCTCTTAATCGGAGACATTCTTGTCTTCCCCTGCACCGGAGTTGACACAATGGAGGACTGATGACAGCTCACTCAGGGCGGGTCTAATGTAAGACGGACTTGTCAATCAACTATTCTGGGAGGGGCCTGTGCAGAACTACGTCATTCGGACAGGAATCTCAGGACAGCCTGATTTGAGAAAGGGGGTTTTAAAAAGAAAACACTGGGTGGATTTTTATCATTATAGGATAGATGTGAACACACACTTCCAACACACATTTATGTTCAAACAACTTGTAAAGTGAATTTTGTATCCGATGACCCCTGAAATGTCTGGATCTGCGCATCTGAAACACTGTTTGAGTGATTACATTATACGTTTCCGTAAGATGTACTGTATCTTTCAACATACCTTCTGTTTTAAATTTTTATGCTAAATCTTGTATTAAAGTGGAAGAGACTCGCGCTTAACCACTGTCGTTTGAATTGAGGCACTACAGCATTCTGTCATACCACATTTGAGAGCATCAAAATGGCATTTATTATTTCAATTCTGGGATAAAAACACGGACCTGGCAACCCTGGTTTGAATTATGGGTGATTCAGAGATTAAACAGAACCTGAGTTAATGGTGCTCTTTTTTAACAGTTAAAAAACTGTGTTCAAGTGAGATTGCACTAATGCTTTATCACGTTAACTTCAACAGCCCTAAATTCTACACAAGAGATATTTTCTATTCACGCAGTATGAGCAGCAGCATAATGACATGTTTTTTCTGCCCCCTTTTGATCATTGGATGATACATTTGTGCATCTGTAGTTTAATTAGTGTTTGTAAGGAAGCACTGTATTGATATTTTTCAAACATTTTGGTTTGTTCTAAACCTCTATTTTAATTATTTAATTATTTATTCAACCTGAACTGCTTAACATAGACTCCACTTTCGATTGGCTTAACAGAGATTCTCAGTCACATTTTTTTCAGTTTCAGAGCGGTTTATGGTTCAGTTTATAGAGCCAACACAGGTGTGATATTTAATGACACCTAATTCACTGATATCTGTTAGATATTTTGTGGGGGCCTTAACATAAAAAAAATCTCCTCCTCCACTTTCAACACAACACATACAATTTATATGTGGACTGCTGTCAACATATTGTGCTGTAAAATTATTGCCCATTTGTTGCCCAGATATCTCATCAAGAGATGCCGATGCTCCAGATTATATCTGACAAGTGATCAGGTTTCGTAATGTATCTATTTTAGCCAAGGATGTGATGCCATCTCTCCAGGGTAGGGGCGTATGCTTAGTCACGGTGATGTAATGTGCTCAGTATCCAGGCTGACAGGACATTGTTTCCATGGTGACAAGGTAATTGGTCTCACCTGGTTGGATGCTCTCCAGGGCATCCCACTCCTCTTGTGCTCGCTCCACCTCCAAGCTCACCTCTAGACAGACAAAATCACACACACACATTGTTGTTGAACTGTTGAACTACTGACATCATTCTGTGTAACATTGTTTCTGAGTGATGAAGTCTTTACCTTCTGTTTTAGTCTGATTCCCTCCTGCTGCCAGAGACTGTAAGAGCCCATTCTGTTTCAGCGCTGAGATCTACACAAGTTCACACCATTACCATTACTATTCAAACTAGGAACACAGAACATCACGTGACTGTAATGGCGCTTTTCCACTGCATGGTATGGCACGGTACGGCTCGGTCCGGTTCACTTTTGGGGGGTTTTCCACTGGGTACAGTACCTGGTACCTGGTACTTTTTTTAGTACCACCTCGGTTGAGGTTCCAAGTGAACCGTACCGTTACCAAAACGTGACGTGTAAACTCTGCTGATCACGAACTGCAGTGGAAACGCAAACCGTGCCGAGCCGAGCCGTGCTGTACTGAACCGTGCCGAGCCGAGTCGTACCACGCAGTGGAAAAGTGAAATACTCACTGGGAGAGTTTTGAGATAAGGGTTGCCATTCAAGTTGCCATTGTCTTTGATGCCATTACCTGGAGTCAGTCCATTTAGGATCTATAAAAAATCCGAAACACATCAACAGGAAGCAACCGTGATACATGCAGATATTCACAAGACCTGGTTTCAATGAACATATTTTAGCAGAGTTTCTCACAGTTGTGCATTTGGAGTGCCCATTTGTTAGATCCTCTGTCTGTTTACATTCTTGTGGAAAACCATTCAAGCCCTAAAAGGAAGAAATCAAAATACATATATAACATATATATATCTAAACATCTATATTGCTCATATTATTCCTTCCCTTGTTTTTGAAAAGCTACCACAAATGTTTAAAATTCAACTGCATTTGAAACATAAGAATACATCTGAAATGAATTACCATAAACTGAATTCACAACTGTGCACATTTCTGTAAGTGCACACAATTTAAATTTGTGTAATCGCCTTTGCACTTTCATGTATAACAATGTACTACGTATACCAAATTTCAAAACGAAAGGAAATATCCATTCAAAGCGGTACTGACAAATAGACTAGATTATATGCACTGAACAAACGTATTACAGTGCAGTGTACAGTGCTTATAATTTAGACTAGATCTCCCTAGTCAGTGTAGTTGCCATGTTGTGAAATTCCCTCTGTACTGTTTGCTCCCAGGGTGAAACAAAGAGAGGAGGTCTAAAGGATAGTATAGCAGCTGCGTCACACCTGTTAGGAAATTTACAATGCAGCATCAAATGTATTTATGCATACCCCAATATTACAAAATCAGCCCTGAGCAAGTATAGTACAGTACAGTACAGTAGCTTTTTCATAGAGCAACAGACTAAATTAACTTCTCAGTCTTCTCTCAGTTTCATTCAGTAATCTCTGACTAAAAAAATCCTTATGAGAAATAAAAAAAGTATGAAATTTATAAAATTAGCAGTTCAGATTAGACAATATGTCACAACATATTGATGAAAACCATGATTTAAAAAAAAAAAAAAATTAAATATGGATATCATGTTAATACTACACATTAGGGCTGGACGATATGGCCAAAATTGATATCACGATATATTTCTTAATTTCGGTCGATACGATATAATTCCGATATCGATATGAACACTATTTATCTGAAATAGAAATCTTTTGTAACATTATCAATGCCTTTATCATCACTTTTGATAAATTTTAAGCATCCTTGCTAAATAAAAGTATAATTTCTATAATTTCTTTCCC